TATTTTACGCATTTACAATATGTTTGTTTAAAAAAAAAAAAAAAACCTAAATTGTTGCTGTTTTTTTTACGGTGTATTCTCTCTCTGAAAATTATTCTTTGTGGAATTGAGAAAAGAAAGTGCCAGTTAAGTCCGTCAATGCTATTATTAATACTATATTTTGGGATGAGGTCACCTCGTTAAGGAAAATTGACTAGAAAATTTAATCCAATTTGCAACCTTTTGGACATGTGGTCTTGTATTCTAACTTTTTTAGGGTGTCTGGTATCTTTGTACTCTGAACTGTATTAGCTAAACAATTTATTCAAGCTTACCAAATGAGGTTTCCAGGCTGGAATCGTGAACTAAAGTAAAGCATGGACAGATGTTGAATAGAGTTGCTTCCATAAGGAAGCTTTGCGAGATTAGAAAGTGTCTTGTAGGATGCCTGGTTTTTCATTTGCTTTACTTGAGATAATGATGGATTGGTTTTAATTTGTATTCCCAAGTCGCGATTAGAGGTGGTTACTTCCGATGTAGTTCGAGTTTTTGAACAAGGGCCCGATTTTTTTATTGAGTACTCAAAGTGTGTTAAAGTTTTTCGGCCGAGTATCCAACAAAGAGTAAGTGTCATATAAAATGTAAAAATATGCAAAAAAAATGTAAGTGGCATAGTTTTTTGCCATGATCTTACATTTCTTTACATTTAGCTCAGTGAGCTAAGACTTCTATCAAACAAATTGATCAATATCTGATAAGAGTTGCAATTAAGCAGCAAGTGAGTTGATAGTTTTTAGAATTTTTGTGTTATTAGGGTATATGTTACAACATTTTTTAATGTTTATTAAATCTGGCATATCGTCAATGAAAATAAAATATAAAAATGTCTTAAGATTGATCTTAGCGGAAACACACTTGTCACAAGTAACCAATTTGATTGGGTGTCACTTAGTATAACTTGTTGAGACCTGTTGGTTAGAATCACTTCAATTAAGAATTTTTTTTTTTTTAATTGAAGGGATTTTCTTTGATTTCATAAATTTTTAAATTGTAAAGAATTCGCTGATTTGGCACTTTGTTAAATGCATTTTCAAAATGCAGTAATATAACGTCAACTGGTAGTTTTTTGTCTATATTTTCATTCAAGAATATATGCCTTTTTTTTAAGAAAAATTTTTAAAATTAAGTGTTAAATTAATTTGCTATTGTTATTTTGTCAGAGCTATTGATATCACTGTAACTGGAAACTTGCATAGTTAAAATCTGACTAGTTACATAGCATTTACTATTTATAAGTGAAAATAGTTCATTAACAAGGGTGAGTTTTATCTTCAGTTATTCAGTAAAGAACATCTTAATTTTATAATAAACTTTTTTGTTTCTCTATATTGATGGATTGGAGTTATGATTTTCCGTTTTGAGCTAACAATCGTTCCTAAAGTGAATTTTTAGGACTAATCAGAGATAAAAATTCTTTTGTCTTGCATAGTTAATGTTTTTGAGAATGGTTTGTTTGGCACACAAGATATGAATGACAACAATCAAAGTATTTTTTGAGCAGAGTTGGTAATATTATTTTACGTTTAAGTCTGTAATAAAATGACTAGTCAACCTTTTTAAAATTTTTTTTGATTTTCTATTGTTACCAAACTTGTAAATGATTTTAGAGCTGTTAAAGTGCAAGCAAATTTGTATTGCTAAGTGTTAGAGCGAGAATAATTTTACAAGAGGAAAATAGTGATTTAAAAATCAAAATAATCTATGGGAAATTGTCACCAGAAATAATGATGCCATTGATTTCATTGTTTGATAATTATGTATTGATACAGAAAAAAAATACATAAAATCCTTCAGTAGGCTTTTAACAAGTAATATTTAAAAAAAAAAATATGTGAGTAATAAATATTCATATAAACAAGATCCAATAAATATGTAAACAAAAAAAATATATAAACAACCTAAGCATGTTCTGTTGTCTGATTCCAAATAAAATCCGCTTGGACATGAACATATTGCATTACCAGATACTACATTGCAATAGCTGTATGAATAGCATCTTTTTGTATCACAAAGTGTGTAAAAATCTAAAAGTAAGCAATTTTTGTATTCGATGATAACATTTATAATAAAACAATTAAATAAAAACATGTTTCAATAAACAAATAAATAAAAACAACTATAACACACCGACGCATGTCCTGTTATCTGATTGTAAATAGTATCCATATGGACAAGAGCACAATGCAATACCAGATACCACATCACAATAGTAATTGTAATTAAAAAAAGTGCAGTTTTTTTCATAACAAAGGTCTTTAAAAAAAATAATATTGTATAAAAATATATATTTTTAATTAAAGTATCAATATTTAAAAGTATTCAACCAAAATATTTATTTTATTTTCATTAATTTTTATTATAAACCACATCGCAAATAATAGTTATAATAATAAGTAGAGTTTTCTTTATAACAAAAATTTTATATAAGACAAATCGAATACAAAGAAAAAAACTTTAATAATTGTATCATCGTTATATAAACAATAATTGACATTAGTATTATAAAAAAATATTTAAACTAGCTGACCGAAATCGTTAATGCATGAGTTTTCCTAAGTCTATTCTAATAAATTTTTTAAATTTTTCCTTGGTATTTCTTGGTATTCAATAAATGGTATTCACGGCGGATGATTGCCTTCGGGCATGAAACTTTAAGTCCCTCTATTTAGTTGTTTTTATTCATTTAATTACATAAAGTATAAACTGCTCTTTTATTTGATAATATTGAGCAATGTCATACGAACAAGAGGTTTTGTATTTTACACCGCAATACTTTTTTTTTTTTTTTTTTTTTTTTTTTTAGTTTACATTATTTACATGTCGTGATTTCCATGTAATATAAACATATAAACTTGGAACCTGGAAGAAGATCATATTGATCTTGTCGCCAGAACCATATAAAAATTACAATATAAATATAATATAGAATAATACAGGTTGTTTATAACAAAATAAGAATCCAAAACATTTGAAATAAGAAATGGTTAAAATAATATCTCAAAAATATTTCAATATATTATCCGTAGAAAAAATAATATTCTTTAACTTGTTTTTAAAAACAGAAAAAGAGACATTAATGAATCTAAATTAGGCTGTACAATTTTATTCCAGATATAAGGTGCTCGATAATCTATACAAAATTGATTAAACTTTGTTTGAAAAAAGGGTTCTTTTAAATAGTTATTATTTCGCAAACTATATTTATTCTTTACTTTAAAGGTAAATAGATCTTTAAAAACATGAAATAAGGGGTTATTCATACAACAAAACGTAAAACATAAAATATTGAACAAGTTAAGTTCATAAACATTTAATACATTCATATCTTTAAATAGAGGTTTTGTATTTGAAAAACGATTTAAAAAATATATTATTCGCATTGCATGTTTCTGATGGCGGTAAAAACGTTGCAACTTACTTTTACCTGTACTTCCCCAGGCAATATTTGCATAGTTTATATAGCTATGAATAAATGAGTAGTATAGTTGTTTTATATTATTTTTATTTAGATAATTTCTAGAGCAGCCGTGGCGCAGTGGTTAGAGTTCTGGCTCAGAATCCAGAGGTCCGAGGTTCGACGCCAGCTCTAGCCCAACAAGTGACATTGGTACGGAAGGAGGCGTGAACTTCCTGTTAAATGCTCTCCCGCGGTGCTCTATGATAAGACCGTAAGAACTTCTGGGAGCACCTAAATACATACAAAAAAAAAAAAAAAAAAAAAAGTACTTTTTGCAACTTTTGTTGATATATAATCAATATGAGCTTTCCGTGTCATATTTTCGTCAAGATAAATACCTAAAAATTTTAAAACGGAATCTTTTTTTATTTCTACTTTGTCAATATAAAGTTTAGGTAAATCATAAAGCAAAAAGCGTTTTTTTGTTGAGGAGTGGAAAAGGGTCCACTTTGTTTTCTCAATATTTAAGGTTAATTTATTACATTTAAACCAGTTAGAAACTTAATTAAGTTCTTTATTCATATCTAAAAAAAGTTTGTTAATGTCTTTGTTTGAAAAAAATAAATTGGTCTCGTCGGCAAACATGATGCTTATAAGATTCGAGGCCTTATTTAGATCGTTGACGTATACTAAAAAGAGAAGTGGGCCAAGGATAGAACCCTGTGGAACATTACATTTTATTTCAATTAATGTTTTATTTTGAAGATTAATAGGAAGCAATTCTTCTCCGTGGTAGACGAATTGCTTTCTATTTGACAAGTAGATTTTATACCATTTGATCATTTTACCAGTTATTCCGTAGAACTCAAGTTTTTTAAGTAAGATATCATGATTGACTGTATCAAAAGCCTTTGATAAATCAACAAAATTGTGATTAAGCAAAAGAATTTGAGACTTCACGTGTAAATTGAATAATGGCTTGTTCAGTTGAACTATTTTTTTTAAAGCCAAACTGATTTTTATATAGTAAATTATTTGAAACCAGGTAGTTGTATGTTTTTTCGAAAGTAGTAGAAGAAGGAGAGTTCCGGGACATTTTTATTTTCAACCCTATTTTCAACCATAAATTAATATTAATATAGGGTTCAATGTTAACCATATTGCATATAAATTATTTCAACAAGAAATAATTTTTTATTTTAAAAAATTCAATTTTTTTAAAATAAGTGTTAATTTTTATTTCTTGTTATGAAATATTACGAAAATTTCTTGCATGACGTCACAGGTCACGTGACTTTTTCTAATAATAAATATTATCTGGTGTTTTTAACTTTTCTTCTTCTAATCTTTCCTTTTCTAACTTTTCAGCATGTAATTTAAATTTATTTTGCAAATAACGAGCTAAACTTAATCTTCTTTTATAACTTCCTAATTTAATATCTACATCTTTACTTGTAAAATCCATTTCTTATAATTTATGTAAAGAAATATATTTTCAATTTTTTTTCTTGCTTCTTATTCAAACCCTAACGAATGCAAATACTTAATAACTTCAAGTTTTTACCATTTTCTGCAGCATTAGATGATGCATATTCTGTTCCTCTATACCCCATCGAATATAAATACTTTACTACTTCAAGGTGACCATTTTCTGCAGCTTCATTAATTGCATTTTCTGTTCCTCTATACCCTAATTCATGTAAATATTTAACTATTTCAATTCGACCAATACTTGCAGCGAAATCAATTGAATCTTCTGCTCCTCTATACCCTTTTTCAATTAAATACTTTACAACTTCAAGGTGATCTTTGTGTACAGCATGATAAATTGCATATTCTGTACCTCTATACCCTAATTCATGCAAGTATTTTAATATTTCAAGGTGACCATATTTTGCAGCACTAGTAATTTCCCATTCTTCTACTCTATATCCAATAGAATGTAAATATTTTACTACTTCAAGATGACCATTTTCTACAGCAACATGAATTATCCATTCATAACATTCATATCCTAATTCAATTAAATATTTTACTACTTCAAGGTGACTATTTTTTACAGCATTATCTATTGCATCTTTTATACCTTTATAACCTAATGAATGTAAATATTTTTGTACATCTTTTGTACCCTTTTCACCTAATTGATTTAATAATTTAATAAGATCATTTCTACCTATACTTGCAGCAAAATCAACTTTATTACCTTTTTTATACCTATATTTTTTTAATATTGCAGTAATATAATATACTTGAGTTGAAGGTTTTATTAAAAATTTATTATTCTCAAAATTATTTTCTAATTCCATTCTTTTTTATATACACAAGAAAATTATTTAAATCATTTTCAATTTTTTTATTTTTTAATGCGCATGCGCTGGGATTTACTTAAGCATAGTAGCGCTTATGCGTAATAGTGAAACATTGCTTAACTTTATCACTACTAGAATTTATATTCACTACGTGTATCAAAAGTTTAAATATATCCATTTTGAACAGCTAAATTATTAAACAATTCTGAACCTTTATACCCTAATTCATGTAAATATTTAATTATTTCAAGGTTACTATCTGATGCTGATTCTGAGCATATCTGGTTATTTACTGCACAATTAAATGCATATTCTGTACCTTTATACCCTAATTCATGTAAATATTTTACTACTTCAAGGTGACCATTTCTAGCAGCAGAATTAATTGCATCTTCTGTTCCTTTATACCTTAATTCATGTAAATATTTTAATACTTCATGGTGACCATTTTCTGCAGCATCATCAATTGCCCATTCTGTTCCTTTATACCCTAATTCATGTAAATATTTTAATACTTCAAGATGTCCATTCATTGCAGCAATATCAATTGCATATTCTGTACCTTTATACCCTAATTCAATTGCCCATTCTGTTCCTTTATACCCTAATTCATGTAAATGTTTAATAATTTCAAGATTTCCATTTTTAGCAGCATTTTCAAAAGCATCTTCTGTACTTTTATACCCTAATTCATGTACATATTTTAGTATTTCTTCATCATCTTCATTATCTTCATCATCTTCATCATCTTCATCATCTTCATCTTCTTCGTCATCTTCATCATCACTATATTCAGTAGTTTCTGTAATTTCAGTAACTTCAGTAGTAGTAACTGTAGTAACTTCAGAATCTTCAGTCATTTCAATATCATGAATATTAATAATATTTAATTTTTCTTCTATTAATCTTAATCTTTGTTCTATTGATCTTAAAAATGAATTTTGCATTTCGTTTTCCATTCTTTTTATTATGTAAAGAAAATTATTTAACTCATTTTCAATTTTTTTGATTTAAAATATTTTTACAAATAATAAAAATAAAAAATGAATGATGATGAGATTAATGAAATATCTGAATTTCAAAAAGAATTTAAACTTTTTGAAGAATTATTAAAATTTGAATTTGAAGAATCAGATTCTGAAGATGACACTTATTATACGTCTGATGAAGCTACTTATTTTACATCTGATGATGAAGATGAAGTTAAAGAAAAACCTATAGTTCCAATTCCTTTAAAAACAGTTCAAATCATGGAACTGCATAAAGATAAGCTGAAATGGATTAATTATGTTCCAACTTATAATGTTATTAATGATGATTATCCTGCTATAGATAATACTTCTTTTAAAAAACATTACAAAAAAAGAAAATTTAGTTTTGAAAAACCATTTAATGTAGATATTAATTTTACTGAAGATGGAAAACCTTCATCAATTCATTTTGTAGAAAAACTACCTATTTTTTGTAAAAATATTTTAAAAGGTAATTATTGTCCTTTTGGAAGAAAATGTAAATACAATCATGATATTCCTTATTGTTGTACTGTAAAGGAAAGACTAATATGCACTAAATCTTCATGTCAATATAGACATATTCATATTTGCTATGATTATCCTAAATGTAGGAATAAAGAGTGTGTATTATTTCATCCTAAAAAGTCAGAATTATTAAAATTAAGAAAAGCTAAAACTAAATTATGTAAATATATTCTTGATAAAAAAGAATGTAAAAATATAAATTGCAAATATGCTCATTCTATAAAAGAAATTGAAGAAAATGTAGAAATTTGTCATTATACTCCATGTAAATTAGTAGAGAGTAAATTAAAGAAAAATAAAAAAGGAGAAAAAATATTAATATATAAAAATGTTAATGATAATAAAAAGTGTAATTTTTTACATCAAGGTGAAAGCATTTTAAATTATATTGCTAGAACTTTAAAAACAAAATAGATACGAGGATTAAAGAGTGATTTAAAAAAATCTTTACATTTATAAAATGTATAATAGTAGAATGTTTTTATATTATGAAAAGCATGAACAATATAGAATAACTTTTAATATTAATTCAGATTTAGAACATAGAGCAATAAAAGATAGACATATTAAAGTATTCGCACAAGAAGATTTTACAGTAAAATCAAATTCATATGAAAACATTTCTTTAATGTGTGGAGTTGAAATAGATAAAGGACATGTAATGATTTCACTTGCAGAAAATTATAAACCATCACTAAATTTACTAAATTCTGTTGTAATAGAGTCTACTGATGATATTAAAATAACTTTATATAATTACGATAAAAAAGATATAAACATAAAAAAAGGAGATTTGTTATGTTGTATATCAACTTATAATGGTGTTTTAAATGCAAATTATATATCACATAGAGATGCTTTAGAACCTGTTAAAGAAGAACAAGTTAGACCACATAATGACTCAGGAACTAAACAGAAAAGTGATAAAGAATCTGTAAAATCTTTATTATCAAGTATAAGAGAAGTAATTAAAGAAACTATATATGATGAAGATAAAACTATATTTGATTTTGGTAAAAAGTGATTTAGCGAAGCATTGATCACAAAAGTGATTTAAAACAAATTTTTCTTTATAGAAAAAAGAAATGCTATGTAATAATGGATATAATAATGAATGTAAGCAGCTTTATCCAGATCTTAACCAGTTTTCAGAAAATCCATCTGCACCACCACAATCTATAGATCAGAGATATCGATTAGATAAGATAAGTGAAATTCAAAATAAAATGGAATGTGAAAGAAATAGAAGAGCTATGCTAAGTAAAAAATATCACAGAGCTGTAAGAATAATTTCAGCTATCGATAATTCATTACTTGCAACTACTATGACACTTGGAGCTGTTGGTATTGGTTTTTTAACAACAATAGTTGGAACACCAGTAGCTATTGCATGTGAAGGTGCAGCATTAGGTATGGGTGTATTATCATTAATAGGATCACAAGCTATTAAAAAATTAGCAATAAAAGCAGAAAAGCATGAAAAGATTAAAGTACTAGCTGATGCAAAACTAAATACAATAAGTAGTCTTATTTCTAAAGCTATATCAGATCAATATATTGATGATGTAGAATTTAATATGATACTTTCAGAACTTGAAAAGTTTCAAGCTATGACTGAACAAATTAGAACAAAATCTAAAAATAATATAGATGAACAGACTAAAGAGTCACTCATTAATCAAGGTAAAGAGAAAGCAATGAAAGAAGCTATGGAATTGCTAAATATGAGATTTAACAAAAATCAGAATATAGGAGTGATGAATAATACTCTTAAGAATTAAATAAAAAAAACATATATTTTATATTACTTGATCATATATTATGTATTATTTGAACATATATTATGTATTACAAACATAATATATGTTGATTTAGATCTTTTTAGGGATCTGAGGATCATAGAGTGATTTAAAAAAATTATTGCTTATATAAAAATGTATGCAAAAGCTATAGATATTGATGCAAGATTAAAAATAGCAAAAGAACTTGCTAGTTTAAAGAAAAGTATATATCAAGATTCTATTAATGAAAAGTTAGGCTATGATGCTTTACAGACTAACTTGCAAAAGTTGTACAAACCAATAATTGATAGTCAATCTGGAATAAAAGAAGGTATATCTAAATTAGAAAATAAAGCTGATCAAATAGCAAATACTTTTTCAAATTATCCTGCTTTACTAGATTCTGAAACTAAAGCAATCACAGAGCAAGGAAAAATTATGCCACCTGAAGTTGTAGATAACATGAGATTAGGAGCTACAGCAACAGAATATTTAAAGTTATATACTACTAAAAATAGTAAAAAAGTATCAGATGATATATTTGGTATTCACTACAATGAAGGTGATAAAAAATTTTACATTGGTAAAAAACAAATAAATATTGAAGGTGATGATATAATTATTGAAGGTAAAAAATACATTGGTACACCAGGCCTTTGGGAGATTATAGTAAAATCTCATCCTGTTAGATATACTAACGATGATCGTAATAAGTATAAAGAAATTTTAGATCAAACAGATGCAATTCGCTCTGAGTTAAATTTAGCAAAACCAAGATCATCTAGAGGTTATAAGTACACTAATGTAATAAAACCTATTTGGGAAGAGATGATTGGAAAGTCTGGAAAAGGAGTTGTCATTCTTCCTAGTGATCCAAATGCACTATTTGAGATGCTTAAATTACGCTTAGCTGGTTTACAAGCAGGAAATACTGGAACAAGAAATGAGATTGTTGCTATTTGTGATGAGTTGTTACGACAGGGTCAAATAGATGATGATGAGTATAAAGCATTACAGAAAGCAATAACTTAAAATGAATTAAAAAAATTATTTTATATATAAAAATGGCAAAATACTATGATACTCTTATCAATCTTTCAGATAGTCAGAAAGAAAAAATTAAAAAAGCAATTGAATCTGATACTAATGCGAGTATAAAACTATCATATGAAGATTTAAATGGTGAACACAAAATAGCTTTAACAGAGTCACAAAGAAACAGAATGAAAGCAGCCTATTTAAAAAATAAGGGTATAACGCTTTCACTGAGTAGAGCACAACTTAAACATAATGTTAAAAAAAATGGTGGATTTCTACCTTTACTAGGATTAATTGGAAGTGTAATTGCATCAAAAGATGTTCCGGCTATAGCAACAGGATTATTGACTGGAACAGCTGCAGCTGCTGGAAGTACTATAGTTAATAAAATTGCTGGAAATGGTATTATTTATGGAAAAAAGAATGGTTATGGATTTAAAATTAGAAAAGTAGGAAAAGGAGTATTTTTAAACCCATGGAATGGTAGTTATAATTATTTAGACGGATATTATTCTAAAAATGGAAATGATTATTCATCAGTAGGTAAAGGTTTGTTATTAGGAGAAAATTCTCCATTTAAGAATATACCCTTATTAGGTCTTTTTCTTTAGATCACTTCGTGATCCAGGCTTTGCTAGATCTTCATAAAAATATATATTTTTAAAAAAAATATATATTTATTGTTTCCACAACGAAGTTGGATAATAAAATAAATCTAATCCACTTCTATACTTTCCATTTAATAAATCAGAAGACAAATCTATAACAACAAATCCATGCTTTTTTGACCAAGCTTCATTACAAAACTTTTTAAACTCATCTAATTTCATATTATTTGAAACATGGTCATTATAAATATGATTTACATTTTTAGAATCTTGTTTAAACAAGCATATAAAATTTGCATTTTCTCTTATCGTTCTCCTAGGCAACTCAAAATAATTTTGTGCCAAGTAGAAACAATCTACATTGCTATGTCTTCCTCTTATATAGTACTTTTCACACTTGTTTTGTTTTGTTAATTGTAAATCATCGAATATCATTAAATTATTTTTAATAGAGTTAAGACTTTCAGGTTCTGGTACATCCTCTGCTGTTTCAAAAAATTTACACTCTATATCTGTTTTATCTTTTAAATCTCTTGAAATGTTTTTAATAACAAACTCTGGATTTACA